GAGTCTATGGGGAAATGGGGGCTACATTGGGGCCACAAGGGCGATGGGGGCTGCACTGGGGAGAGCCACAGGGGAAATGGGGGCTGCACTGGGGAGAGCCACAGGGGAAATGGGGGCTGCACTGGGGGGAGTCTATGGGGCTGACCCTCCTGGATACTGCAGTGATACAAAACATGAGACTAGCAATAATAAAAGGGTGGGGGTGTTGGGCTCGGGAAGGGGCTGGCAGAGGAAAGGGAAAGGCAGGAGGTGTTCAAGGGGAGGCTGGAGCAGGGGCGGTTGAACATAAGAACAGCCACACAGGGTCACGCCAATGGTCTGTCTGGCCGTATCCTGTCATCCTGGTTCCAGATGCTTCAGAAGGAGTGAATAGAACAGGGCAATTTACAGTGATCCAGCCCCTGTTGTCCAGTCCCAGCTTTTGTCAGTCAGAGGCTAGGGACACCCAAAGTATGGGGTTGTGTCCCTCTGACCATCTTAGCTAAAACCCATTCACGGGCCTATCTTTCATCAACTTATCTAAATCTTTTTTTAATCCAATTATCGTTCTGGCTTTCACAATATGCTGTGGTGATGAGTTCCACAAGTTAGCTGTGTGTTTTATGAAGAAGTACTTCCTTATATTTGTTTTAAACGGGCTGTCTGTTAACTTCATTGGCTGACCCGTGGTTCTTGTGTTATGTGAAGGGGTAAATAAGACTTCCTTATTCACTTTCTCCACACCAGTCATGATTTTATAGACTGCTGTCATGTCCTCCCTTTAGTAGTCTCTTTTCTAAGCTGAACAGTCCCAGTCTTTTTAACCTCATATGGAAGCGGTTCCATACCCCTCATCATTTTTGTTGCCCTCCTCTGTACTACTTCCAATTATAATATATCTTTTTTGAGATGGGATGACCAGTACTGCCTGCAGTATTCAAGGTGTGGGCATAGCATGCATTTACGTAGTGGCATTATGATATTTTCTGTGATACTATTTATCTCTTTCCTAAGGGTTTCTAACATTCTGTTCATACGTGTCGACATCCCCTCTACCCGGGGGGGTGCTTGACCCCCTGCCCCCTCCACTCCAGACCCTGTCCCCACTCCACCCCTGTCCCCAAGTCCCTGCCACACCTCTATCCCCCTCTGGTCTGCCTCCGCCCTGCCTCTTTCCACCCCCTCCCTCGAGTGCGCCCCATCCCCACTCCTCCCCTGCCCTCCCAGAGCCGACCTGCACACTGCAAAACAGCTGTTTGTGGCAGGCGGGAGGCACTGGGAGGGTGGGGGAGGAGTGATCAGCGGGGCTGCCGGCAGGGGACAGGCACTGGGGAGAGAATGGGGAGCTTGGCTGCTGGTGGGTGCTGAGCACCTGCTAACTTTTCTCCCTGGGTGCTCAGTCATGGAGCACCCACAGAGTCGGCACCTAGTATTCTGTTAGCTCTTTTGACTGCTGTTGCACATTGAACAGATGTTTTCAGAGGACTATCTACAATGACTCCAAGATCTCTTTTGTGAGTGGTAACAGCTAATTTAGACCCCAGGATAGTTGGGATTATGTTTTCCAAGGTGCATTACTTTGCATTCGTCAACATTGATTTTCATCTGCCATTTTGTTGTCCAGTCACCCAGTTTAGTGAGATCCTTTTGTAACACTTCAGTCTGTTTTGGACTCACTATCTTGAATAATTTTGTATCATGTACAGAGTTTGCCATATCACTGTTTACCTCTTTTCCCAAATCATTTGTGCATATGTTTAACAGCACTGGTCCCAGTACAGAACTTTGGGGGCCCCCGCTATTTACTCTCTCCACTGTGAAAACTGACTATTTATATTCCTATCCTTTGTTTCCTATCTTTTAACCAGTTACTGAGCCGTGAGAGGACCTTCCCTCTTATCCCATGACTAATTATTTTGCTTAAGAATCTTGTGAGCGACCTTGTCAAAAGTTTTCTGAATGTCCAAGTACACTATATCCACTAGCTAACCCTTGTCCACTTGTTTGTTGACACCCTCAGAGAATTCTAGTAGATTAGAGAGGCATAATTTCCCTTTTATAAAATCTGTATTGACTCTTTTTCCCAACATATTGTGTTCATCTGTGTGTCTGATAATTCTGTTCTTTATAGTAGTTTCAGCCAATTTGCCTGTTATTGAAATTAGGCTTATTGGCCTGTAATTGCCAGGATCACCTCTGGAGTCGTCCTCTTTTTTTTTTTTTTTAAATAAACATCACATTAGCTATCCACCAGTCATCTGATACAGAGGCTGATTTAAGCAATGTTATATGCTGCAGTTAATGGTTCTGCAAATTCATATTTGAGTTCCTTCAGAACTCTTGAGTGAATCCCATCTGATGCTGGTGATTTATTACTGTTTAATTTACCAATTTGTTCCAAAACCTACCCTATTGACC